CAAAATGGTGGTAATTTTCGCACCTGAGATCTAGGCGCACATGTCCTTAGGGTTGGGTCAAGTATGGTTTTCTTTAAACATTCTATTTGAAATCATTCATTGCATGTGAGTGTGTTCTGTTACAAATTTTGACTCGATTAAACAGGGGTTATTCTAGAAAAAAAACTGCAAGAGGGAGCACTGCAATTCAGCGACGCCACCAAGTGGGGGAGATAGGGTTCTCCCTACCAGGGTGTGGAGTTTTTGATAATTCTAAGTTGAAATGGAGCATTCTATGGTTTCCTTGGGGCCAAAATTACTATCAGAAAGGTCACAGTTGAAGTCTGTGGCCACATGTGATCCCTGGTCAATCAGAATTTTATGGTTGCCGGAGGATCTGCTCCCTAGGGTAAGGGGGCACATGGCCATGGCATGAGGGCGCTGCGCCCCTGTTCCCTTGTTTAAAAAAATCCCCGATTAAATAAAATTACTGGACAATTTATGGTGTTTTCAATTTGTGAGAGGGAGTTGGAATTGTGGATGTTGAATTCATGTACTCGGTCGTCTCATGTACACAGTTTGTGTGATCTAGGTTTTATCATAAAGTGCCCACAATATCAATCAGTGGAGCAGTGTTTCCTTCAAACTTGGCACACAGGTTCCCCTATGTAACCCACATGACATTGTAATGTTTAGAAACAACTGTCAAGGTCAAATTATAATACATATATGTATGTTCGCAATATATTATATAATTACTTGGGTAAGATGCCATTGTTTTTAAAACTTGTCAATCTTCAGGTCAAAGGTCAAGGTAATAGATTGTATAAGACATTGTGTCATCCCTGAGTTATAAGTGCTTTCTACTTATGTGTAGTTTTCAAAAGTTATACCAACCGATAATTGATTCTATAAACTCAATTTTAATTATGCTTTTTTTCTCAAAATATATTACTGTGACACACAACGAAATAATGTTTCATGATGCTATAATTGTGCTGACAAACCAATGTAGAATGTGATTTATCATCAACTTTGTCAGAAATGATGAGCAGGCTTCTATTTTAGAAATTGATGAATTTAAATGCTAAATAAAGCATTCCATATCATTTGTTTTCTTACAGGCTCTTCCTTGAAATATTTCTGCGTGGACTGGATGCGACAACTTTGTCTCAATAAAAAAGACAAGCAAAAATGCAGCATTATGATGATATCTTGAAATACCACTTGGGGGAATTTGGTGCATTCCAGAAACGCGCTTTTCTCTTACTCAGCCTGACTATCATCCCTATTGGCATGAGGGTAGCTTCGTTTGTTTTTATATTGGCGGAAACTGACCATTGGTGCAGAATTCCTGAATACGATGATCTTATCGAGCATGTGAATACATTAATGCTACAACAGATTGTGACTTGTTTGTGAAAACAATTACAATTCCAAAAGAGCCTGTTAGCGATGTATGTGACACCACATGGAGATTAAGAGTTGTCTTAGATATGATATTAACACAAGTGATGTCATTGATTTGATTGACACCTATGATAACCAAACGCTAGAGACACGAAATGTGACAGCGGAATGGAATTTGATACAACCCAGTATTCATCCACGGTGATACAAGAGGTAAGAATCTACTCTGCTTATCAAATTTGTTCACAGTGGCATTTCTATGCTATTGCAAAGTTAAAATAGGCATATAGGATTAGTGTCCCGGAAGTAAGAATTGTTGAACATGGCTATTGCTATGGGTGATATTTATTTTATAAGTTATGCACAAGCGACAGCATTGAACAGCCCGCATATTAAATGTGATGGTTGTATGCTGCGCATGTGCGACATTTGTGTTGATAAACTTTGATTTTCTCACAATCTAATGCGCTCTTCTAATGGGACCACAAGTATGAGGTTTGACCTTGGGGGTTGACTTGCATTAATTACCACCAATGACTGGCTTAGTCTTTTCCACAAAACTAAATGAAACCCTAACCTTAAATTTGAACGATTTCAAACATCGCCATGTCACAGAAATAAATTTGTCGAGAATATTTAGTTTCATTTGTGCTGACATGACGTGACAGCCATTTTGGAATTGTTGAACACTGATGGCGCTATTCATTTTGTGTTTCACAGTGTGAAATTTTCTCAGATATCATTAGGCCAATGAAAAAAAATGTGGGTTAGGGTTTCGTTTCGTTTTGTGGAAAAGACTAAGCCCTGATGACTCAATATCTTTCAATCACCTGAAAAATACCTAATTTAAAGCTTGGTAACGTCTCAGTTTGTACTCGTTGATCTGCGCAGCATCCAAAGTCGCCATATTTGTTTATATGAGATCCGTATAGCTCACGCATGCGTGTCACGACTACCGCTCTTTAAGCAATCAGGTTCATGTGTGTGGAAATCATTTGTATGAAAATAACTAATGCCTTTGAATTGCATGATCTGATCAGATTTTCAGGATGAAAGGTCACAGCATGTGTGTTATGGGGAAATGGGACCACCTTTAAACTTACCAGTAAGACCTGGTTAGATTATCAGGTCAAAGGTCAAAATTTATACACAGATGTATGCAAGAAATTTTACGATTTAAAAATCAAACTTAAATGTCACAGGGTTACAAAACACGCTTTCAACCATAACTAAATTGATATACACAATATTATTATTTAAAAAACGACATGGCTTGGTATTTCCTCTTAGTGGTGACCAAGTGTTATTTTTCCCATGTTATTGTCTTGAGTTTAGATTCAGGTAGACTTGTTTTGAAATACTGAACATTTTTTGAATGTCAAATTTAGTTTGTTGTATTTGAATAGAGTAGAATTTCAAAGGTCAATAAGTTGGCATAATCCACCATTTTTAAAATGTTTTGAGTGCATGTAACTACATTGTACTATGTGCAAAAATAGAAAGTGTGCTGATATTGAATCCAAGGAATAATATGAAAAATGCACCCTGCTGTACTTGGATGGCAAATGTATGGTGACTTGATCAATCAGCTACAATGAGTTGTTTACATTTTCCATTACAGTTTGGCTTTGTCTGTGACTGGCATTATCTGGGTCCTCTTTCAACATCTCTATTCTTATTGGGTCCATTTCTAGGGAATTTAATCATCGGTCACATGGCAGACAGGTAAGTAGCAATGATTTTGAAATAAAAATGACATCATTCCATTATTTGAGTGATTATATATGAATATTTTATGCATATTTTCAAAAGCAGTTAGTAGCGATTCAATTAGTAGTAGAAAGTCTAAAAGAAGATGAAAATATTGATTCTGTAATATTGGTACTGGCATTCAAGATTTTTCAGCTGAAAAATCATCAAAATCAAGCATTTCTGTCATTCTGGAACCTCGTCTCGACTGTTTACAGATGAATTTTTTTCAGAGTTGGTACATAAATTTGACATTATAGAACCTTGATGCACGTGTTTTTGATTTTAGATCAGATTTAAAAAGGTGGACTGGCAGCCATTTTGTTTTAATGAAAACGGTTCTAGGGCCATATCTCTGACATTCTTTGACAAATCACGTTCAAATTTTATATATTCCTTATACATCATGCCATAGATATACAAATGTATCTACGATGGCCGACCTTTGGCCATTTTGTTTTAATTAGTGCTTTCAATAGCTCTCAGTATGGACAAGTACTCATTTGACAATCAGATACAAGATGACTGAATTTAAAACATTTTAATTTTAAAAATTTTAGTTAAATGTTCAATTAATCAGGCATCAGCTTCTGGATCTATATCTTTGACATGTTCCAGCTATTATTAGAAAACAAAACTGTATATTTTAAATTTGATAACTAACGAAGACTGTGCCATTTATGCCTTGTTTTTGTTAATGTCAAATCCCTTCTTAGTCTAGTATTATATGTTCAATAAAATGCAATCATGCCATACCTATGATGTGACCCACGCCTTGATTTAGATTATAATTGTGAAATAAAATTCACAGTTTTTTCTTACTTTACAGAATCGGCCGACTTCTAACCTTTATAATAAATATTGCTATCTTTGTGGTGTTTGGCTTGTTGCAAGCTGTGGTACGGAATGCAGTAATGTTTATGATATGTAATTTCATGATTGGTATACCTTATTTTGGTATATACAACCAAGCGCTTGTGCTCCGTAAGTTATATATTTTCTTCTATACATGTATATCTTGTTCTTGATTCAACCATATCCTACTAGTAAATTACTCATTGTTATTAACTTGTCACTTTAATATTATCGATTGGGTGGGTTGAATTCATCCACTTTGTACATATAGAAGTAGTATTTTCTCAATTTTTCACAACAGTGGATATGATGTCACACTTTACCCATAATCCTTTGCTGAAGAATCAAGATGGCTGGCTGCATAATACTGATTAAATGTTGAATATCTAGATAATGAAACATGATATAAAACAAATTACATTTGTAGAGCTTTTCCTTTAGGGAGTATTATGTTGTTTGGCCAAAACATGCACAGCGATTGTATAAAGAATATTTATTTTGAGGTTAAAGACGATGAAACACTGAATTTACAGAAAAAGTATTTCAGCTGTGGCACCATCAGCCATGGTCGAAAATGTAGGACAGATACAAGAAATCACTCAGAAATTTAACGCACAACACTTAGGCACACTCACGATTTTGCGCCATTTTGAATCAAAGCTTGTAATAAGCTACAAGTATTTTCCACATCTCACAAGATCTCGCAAGACGTGGAAAATTGCAACTTATTGCAAGAGTTGAAATCCCACATAATCACCTATTTTAAACTGGATCTTAGTCATGCATGAACGGATTATGTCCAAACTGAGTTCATACATTGAGGAAAATGGGACCTTGATGCTTTTCATTTTATTCTTTGGTTTGTGTTTAAAATTACCAGCCGGTGGCCATTTGTTTTGAAGTTTGAGCTTCACACATACATCATATCACCCAAGCACACTTCTTTCAACATTAATTTCAAAATGGCTGATCATTTAAATGATTGCAGTTCCACTGAGCCATAGCTCATACATGTTCATACCAAAAACTTTACCTCACACATCATGTCATATATCGTATTCTAGAAGTGGATTTCAGTCATTAACTGACTGAATTTAAACTTGGTCAACACATTCATAATCCCGACTGGTCACTGTATTGTTTTATAGAAAATTAATTCTAAATTTCCTGTGCACATTATATTAATTCACACTAAATGTTATATGTCACTAAATGTAATACTGTTGAAAGCCAATATTCTATTGGCCATTTTTTTTTTACTGTTTATTTTTTATGAAAATAGGTAAAAAGACAAAACATAATGGGTGAAATATGACCGACTAGTGGCCATTTTTGTCTCGCATGTTTCTCAGGCATGCCTAGGCTGATTGACAGTGACTCAAAATCGGAAACTGAACGGGGACTATGTCATTGCCATTGGCTTGTTTGTTCTCAGTTGCAGAGATTGTTGGCCCTTCAAAACGAGGCACTGTCACCATGGCCTGTGTACTGTTTTATGCTTTTGGATACAGTGTACTACCGGCCATAGCTTACTATGTACGTGATTGGTCAGTTCTAGTTCTCATTATAAACCTCCATCCGATCATATTCTTCTCGTATTGGTGGTAAGTATAATATTCATAAACTTCAATAGTCTAAAGTCTTTTTGAAACATTAATTTAGAATAAATATCTGAAACCTGGTCCCTAAAACTACCAATTTATGGTTTTATGTACACACTTTGCTTTTAAAGTAGTTCGCTGCCATTAAAACATAGAAAAAAATGATCGCAGTAAATCAGTCAAAAATCATTGTGCATACATGCCAGTCATTTTTATTTGAACTTTTTTGAGAAACGAGGATTTGTTTTAAATGAAAACTGTACAAATCAATCTAAAAAGCTACCATTTTGTGATATTTATAACGATCACTGTAAACACATTATTCCATGGATAACTTATACTAATATTCAAAATTCCTCAATCTTTCGAACAGCGCTCCTAATATTACATATCATTTTATTTAGCATAGATCACCGAATAAAATTTTGAGATCTGATTGTAAACTACTAAAACCCACATTTTCGAGGTCATATTGTGGAAAAAATTATATTTCAGAATTTCGAACATTACAGTAACCCAGCTCTTCTTTCTGGTTTTTGAGGATTTCTGAAAATATTTGTACATTATACGTGTCCTGTATTAAATAACCTTTAACCTTTTCACCAACAGTTCATATTTTTTCATCACAAATTCACAAAAGTGACCGGTTCATAGATTAGGGCGAAAATAGCCAAATTTTTTGAGTAAAAACTGAAAATTGACTCAAATTTTGTACAGAAATATTGAAGAATTTAAAAAAAAAAGTGCAGACAAATTTTGATGAGAAAGTCTTATGGTGAAAAGGATATATAACATATATGTATTTAGATATGATATTGACAAAACAATGTATATATCAATATTGTTAAGGATACTCGCTGAATCGCCACGTTGGTTACTGTCAGTCGGCAAAGTGAAGAAAGCTAAGGAAGTCATGCAGCGAATGGCTAAGGTCAACAAGGTCTTGCTTCCAGATTATATCTTTGAATCTGAAATGTTTGAAACCTTGAACAGCAAGGATAGTGATTTGAAGGTGGGTGTAGTTTTCTGGAACCAGAACCATTCGTTAGTGCATAACTACATGTACATTACTAAAAGAGATATTACTATCAAATGTATGTTAGTATGTGGCAAAACAATTCATTCTAAAGCACGTTATTATGTATGTCACGTTGCTAATAACAGCTGCATACCAATTTTCTGTTCGGCTTGAAGCGGGAGGGTCGTCACCTGTGCACGTGCTGGAATTGAGTCCCAAGCGACGACAACAATTCATGCTAAAAACACAAAGCCTCATGGGTAGACGCTTGTTTGTAAATAATAACACGCAATGACCATCTGACGCATACGCAGGTGGCGACTCGCTTTAATAGCTTGTTACTGCATATGATTACTATGTACAATTAAAATATAGAAATAATTTATTGTTCATGATAATCATTGTTTCAGATGCCAATACCGGAAAATGGGACAACTGATACTTTTATCACTATTTTCCGTTATTCAAATACAAGAAAGAAAACGCTGATAATATATTACTGTTCGTAAGTTATTCTAATCTATG